ACGACGAACGCTCGCTAGACCCATTGTCCGTCGCGAAGTGTTTACCGGAATCGGTGAAAGAGTGATAGCCGAAGAGAGAGGGGGAGCGAGAAAGAGAGAAAGAGAGTGAGAGATGGATAGAAACAGCGATAAAACAGCGGGGCAGAGGGGCAGGATGGCGGAGGGACTCACAATGCACTCCCTCGCGACCCTCCACAGGTTGAAGTAAACGGAGTTCAGCCTGGAATCTAGCTCGCGCTACACCTTTCTCCCAGCCGGTGATTATCTTCTTGACTCGTCCCTTTGTCGTTGTCGTCGATCTGGATGTTATGCTACGGGCTGGTACGGTCTACCTTTTTATTACCGTCCTTTCTCTTCATAAATACGTCACCGATCACACTTTTCCGAACGAACTCGCGATGGGTCACGGTATCCGGTACCGGAACCTTCTTTTCGTTTGCTCCCGCGATTCCACGCTCACCGGGCTACCGGACCTGGAGCTCGAGGATGAAAGTGACAGAGAAAGAGAGCTAACGAAAGGCGAACAGAGAGAGACAGAGAGAGAGAGACAAAGAAACACAGAGAAAAAGAGAGAGAAGAGGGAAAGAAGTATCGACAGACAGACGGATAGGTGGGTATACAGAGAGAAAAGGGAAGAAAGGAAGGAAGAGAAGACCCAGTTTAGAGGATAGAGAGGTTGCTCGAAAATAAAGGGCAAGGAACGATGTGTGGGGCGAATGGAGATCGCGGGGGCAGCGGGGAGAAAAAGAAAAACAGGAGGAGGTGGAGCACGAAATCCTCCGAAACGAAGGAAACCGTTCGTCGAAGAAACTTGTCCCTCCGACGTCGACGTGGCTTGACGCGCACGGTTCAAAACTCTCTCCCCCCGGGCGGCGTGTTTCTCAAGTCTTAAACCGAGCACGGGAACCGATACGACGTTAAAAAGAGAACCTTCGACTCGATCTGTTTTGGGTTCATGTCCCTATCACGGCACATCGCATCGAGCCCTTTCTCGAAGGCGAAGGGCACTGCCTATGGCTGCTTCAAGAAGTGAGTCGACACCAGCCGTAGCGTAAGCATCGAGCCACAGAGCCGGGGATGAGTTTTAGGTCACCACTCCGATCCTTGGCCTGGCATGGTCCACGTGCCTCCTTGCGCCTCTACCGCACTTCCCTTCTGAAAACAAAAAGAAAAAGACGTGGTCGGCCGTTAGCGGGATATATTTGTGCTCTTCCCGTTCCGGGTCGATGTTTCGTAACCCGCGGGATTGTTTACGCGAATGGCGAACATTCGTTCGTCGACTCGTGGGGTCGATAATTAAGTTGGAACTGTTTGCCGAGAGAAAGATATACGAATACTTTGTTTGAAGTATTTAATACACGCTCCGTTTTGCATTGCAACATCGTATTGGGCGATAGGGAATCTGGAAATCTATGGAAATCTTTCGGTCTCCATTTCGTAACAATGAAACTATCAGTAGGATATCACTGATACAAAAATCTCACTGGCAAAAGAACACCTAGCAACAATGTTGCAACTCGCATGGATGAAAATGGTTCATCAATATGTCGCCAGACCGTGATTACAACTTCCAGACTCCTCGAAACCCAACGAATAGCTCCCTTTCGAAATAGCAAGAACGCACAACGAACCGAACGCCGTTCGCGTAGAGAAGAAAACAACGAAATCCTTAAGACCACGAGAAACTTCAGGAACACGAAGAACAATGTGCTGGTTCGATAACGACTCGCGGATAGGTGCCTCGACGAATGGAAACGGTCCGGGTGCACGCGACGATACGGATGCGAGGTGGAAAACGGGGTGACTGTCGTTCGAGGGAACTGCTACGGCCCGGTTTCCCTTCGATCAAACTGGATTCGATCGGGTCTGGCCTGGCACGCAGCAACACGGGAGGCAGAGCGTTCCCCGTTCCAGAAGTTTCGTCCTCGGTCGCGAAAGAACTTGACCAAATTATCGATCCGAGGTTCAAAATTTCGATTCGCTGGAACTCCTCAAAGAATCCGGCAGTCCGGGGTGGAGGAGATACAGCGACACGTCGCGAGTCCCGCAGCGTTGTTTACTTTTAGGCCGAGGACTGAAGTGGCACGGACATGGAAGTGGTGGTTTATGCGTCCGCGATACCAACGGGACGCGTCTCGATCCGAAATAAATCCCGTGCACGAGCTCGATACGTAGAAACAACGCGCCCGGTGATGACGCGGGGGATGGAACGACACTGTCGTCGACCGAGAACCCCGAAAAAAGATAAACAACGATGCGGCAGCTCTTCGGCGGAGGCTCCGGGAACTTTGCGACGCCACTCGAAACTTCTCGGCGGAACACCACCAATTTCACAGGCTTGACCGAGTCGGAAGAGGACGAAGAAACCCCGGACAACAGTCGCGTGACTCGGGAGATGCAGAGACAGATGAACCTGGCCGTTATGTACCCCAAGAGAACGAACGAGATCATAAAGATCGGAACACGGTCCGCGCATTGGCGACCATACTAAGCGACACTGAGTTTTCTGCGACCGCGATCCTTCGCAGCATACCTCTCACCCCTTCTTGCTGCCATCCACCCCCTGGATCCGCTATCACCCTTCCCCTCTGTATACCCGGACAACCTCGTTGCTGATCTGCTTCCGTTCCGTTCCGTTCCGTTCCTCGGGTCCGTCTCGTTGGCGAACGGAACACGACACAGAACGGTTCCACGGTGGTGGCCGCGGGCTACCTATAATACCCTCTTGGCAGCAGATATCGCGAGGGACGAGGGCGCATGCACTGCCTCCGACAATCAATAGAACGTTCTGGTCACGTGAAGCATTCGCGCGGAAACAGAGAGAAAGAGCGACAGAGGGAGGATGATGAGGGAGGGTTGGACAGGAAAAGAGGGAAGAGATGTAGCCGGGTTGCGGGGCAGGGAAGCGTTGACGAAGAGGGAATCAAGGATGAACGAAGGAAAGGAGTCAAGAGCGGCGCTGATGGGGAGGAATAGGAGGAGGTGAAAAGCGGGACGTACGGCGATTGGGGAAAGCAAGAATCGCGGTGGCCGAGGGAAACAGAAAGACGGAGTGCTGTGCTCGTCTCGCGAGTCGCGTCGGATGCTAGGAGCCCGCTCTTAACCTCCGAACGTCGAGCGTTCTCCGACGACTGCGCAGGTTGCCAATGCCATTACATCTGTAGTCAGTGGAATTAATTAAACCCCGTTGACGGCATAGTCGGTTCGTTTACGCCGTTCGAAATATTATTGCGGGGAGCGGCGGGGAAATGGGAATGTTTTCTAATACACTCGATCCTCTTAGAACACAATACCCTGAAGTACTTTGTAACTCTTTTAACCCTTATAACCTTTCTGACACGAGTGACAAGACTTCTATACAGCATGCAGTACACTTGGGACATCCTTATTCGGTACGGATAATTCAATTGCACCGCCCTGGATAAAATAAATAAGAGACACCGTGGTTCTCCTCGCCCTAAACTTGGTTGTAATACAAGACGACGAAAATTGGCGATGTCTAAGATACATAACGTCCTCCCTGGAGGAGAAGATGTCTCGTCGAAATTTACGAAAATCGATATTTATAGTAAATTTATTCCGACAATCGACATACAAGTTTGTTTCCGGTTAGGGATTTTTAAGTGATAAGACCGTTCTTGCGAGATTAATTACGAAGAAGAAATCGTGAGGCAAGGAGTCGAAGAACGGCATGGAAGATCAAGAGAACATTGCGTAGCGATAGCGAAATTTGAAACGTAGATGCATTCCGCAGAACTTTTTCTATAGGGACACGTGACCTTCAACTTCGCGTTCTCCGTTATATTCCTAATAAGGAAGGGATTACGCGATCCACCCTTCGCGTCCTCGAAACCCCGTTTGAAAGAACTGTTCCATGAATAAAATCGTTACTTCCCTATCGAAATAAGTCGTCGCGTATCGCGGTCTACGGATTAACAAAATAT